CAATTGGTGACATTAAAACGAGCCAAAAAATAATGTTTTCCGCCAGATTGTATTTATATATTAATATCGTTAAATAAATTTTTTTATTTTTTGTTATAATTTGTTATGATTTAACTATTTATTTAATAACTTTATTATTATCCTAATGAGGCTTGCCACACGTGTTGAATCCCTAAACACATGTATATTAAACTTAGGCTTTGTGGGAAAAAAAGACCATTTCTTATATCAAGACTCCATTTTTTATAGTTGTTAAAAATGAAATCGGTATGAGAATGAGCTGAATGAAATTCAACGTTAAATGAACGGGAAAAATGTGGAGTTCTTAGACGCGGTCAGAAATAGGCGGACGAAAATCGTTTCATTTAGTACGTCTAAGGATGTCCATTTTGGACATCCTTGGACGTACTACGGACGTCACTGTGCCCATTAGGAGAAATTGTTGAAATTCTGTAGCTTTCCAGCGTTCAAAATCAGAAATTGCTTTTGGCTTTCGAGCAAATTACGAACATATATTTATTTTTAAATGAAGCAACTTTTATAATAAACCTAATTTTGCACGTGGACCAAGAAGTGTTTTCTAAGGACCTTTATTTAACAAATACAAACTTGAGCATAACACCCAGGCATGACAAATGCATATAATCACCTGGGGCTTAATCACCTGATATCAAATCAATAGATGTTTGAGCTATAGAGCTCACACAAATGTGGTTCTTATGATCTGACATATTAGCAAAAGATGTATCTCATTTTAATGTTGCAACAGTTTCAGGAAAAATTACTTTTCCATTTTATACACCATGCTGCTCACATTTATCGCAGCCTTGACATTCATTATGACCCTTCGTGCATTTTACAAATACTCTTGCTGTGGTATCACAAATAATTGCAGAAATTCTAAATGAATAATGTTGATTGTTATTGTGATACCATTTTCAGATTTGAAAGCTGTAATGTTTTTAGGTTTGTAATTATTACAGTACAGTGCAATAACAAATGATTTTTTATTGCATTGCAATACTCCATCAAACTTTTCCTCTTAGCCACGAGTTGGCCATATCTGCATGCTTGAACTTTTAAAAAGAGGCAAGCCATCAAAATTGATTTGGATTGTTACAGTCTTATCTGTTAAACATTATGTACTTTCAAATAAGTTTTTCTAATATGTCAAATCATGCTACAACATTAAAAACAGATGCATCTTTTGCTAATAATGTCAGATTTGTGCGGCCGTGGCGCAGTGGTTAGAGCGCTTGCTTTCTTTTTTTTTTTGCCCAACTAGTCAAATCATTAACTAGGACTATTAAAATCAAAATAATTGCACTTCTCCACAGTGATATACAAAAAATAGTGTTACCTTTTGTGCATTTTACTCAGTTGGGTCAGCTTAATGTTAAACATCATGGTGAAAAGTTAACGAAATGAATGATTTTACAAGTTAATTAGACGTAACCCTTACAATAAAGAAATTTTTTTTTTTTCTATTTTGTAGTTTTTTGTTTTGCTTTAAGAAAAAAATAAGAGTTTTAGTGAAAGAAAAATTTATATTTTTTAGTCGCACATATTATATACACACTGCGTGCTAAAAATTTGGAAAATAGTTAAATATAGTCGACTAACTACTAAATTATTGTTTTTACTCATACAAATAATAATATATACATATAAAATCACTTAAAAACTATTAAACTGTCACCATATGGTATTTGTATGCAAATTTGCCGTTTTATACAATAAAAACTCTCAAAACTGAATTTTCCATATCTCCTAAAAAAAAAATTTAGTTTGACGCAAAGTTTATCTTTTATATTATTTAAATATATACCTAAAGTTTTATTTATGATGTCTAAGCAAAAAGCCAGAAACGTTAAGGTGAAAACAAATAGTTTCCATAACACAACTGCCGCCTTATAGCGCGTATTTTTTGCACGTTTTGTCGCCATTTTGCCAACCAGGGACCTAAATGTATATATGAGAGCTTTAGTGGGATGGTCATCCATACATCCGCGTTTGGGACGGCCCTGTATATACATATATATATATATATATATATATATATATATATATATATATATATATATATA